AGTTGATTTTAGCTGCTGGCTCTATAAAGTAGAAGCACAAATGGAAATGATGGTTCCCAAAGTGTGTAAAACATAGTTTAACAATTAATATGATGTTCAAAAGTTGTGCACTGGAAGTTTAGTTCCAAACTAATGAACATGTGTAAATATGAATAAGCACGACTAAAACACATAAAATAAGGATGAGTGCAATCCAATGACATAGAAAATAGATTGTTGTAGGCTACAATTCTTAATTGGAACAAATTTAAAAGGATATTTGACAATGGTCCTATTTAGAATCACAGCTGTTAAGCAGAAAGTGATAACCAAAGAAGAATTTTCGAAATGATTGTTGAATGAATTTTTTATAGCAAGGCCTGTGATGCACACCATAGGGGCATCCTTTGTATGGATGAAGGATCATTTATGTATTATGTAATCCTTGGGGAGACGACTTATTTGTCATAATCGCAAGATAATAAAAAAGGATTCAGCAACGTATTATAAGCATCATATGTAAAATAGGGGTAAAAGTATATTACCATGGTTCGGGTAATTTGTTTATGAACCCATGTTCATTGCACTCAAACGATTCAGAGTTTTTCTTGACAACTTTATGGCAAGACGGGCATGATTTGTACCACCAGCCCTTAGTCAAATCGAATTCAACAATAGTTGCTTGGCATACGAAACTTGCATTCTGTTATGGAAACATGAGGTTTTGAAATTAACTTTGCAAACATGGAGTATAAACAGATAGAGAAGCAAAGCAAGAGATGGTCAAGTTAGATGCAGCACGAAAATCTATTAGTAAAAAGAGGTGATTTCAGTGAATAGTTTGGTGATGACAAACTAACCTTGTGCAAGGCAGGATCAAGTAAAAGCAATTCGTCAATTGTTTTTGACTCAGTAGTAGCACTGACTGCACGGCCCGTATACATCTCAGCTGAGGTGGGCAGGATTTGAAGAGGTGATCTGCTATGCTTAAACCTGTTTTGTGCATGTTTAGGGTGAGAAAAATTAATCGAAGAAATATAAACGAAAAAGTTATTAAAGAAGGGTTGTTGATTTACTTGTGTTTGTATTCAGAGAGTTGTGGAATCTCTGGATTGAAAACACAAACGGTTGATCCTGTGCTTCCGAGAACAGGTTTTCCTGTAAATATGAGATAACAATTAACAAACTGAAACTTTAAGTAGTTAGATAATGTATGGCAGGGTATAACCTTGGTATTGTTTTACTTTCAGGCTTGTGAAAGCACAAAATACGGGTGGCAAAAGTTCTTGTATTCCACTGCTCTCAAAACCTGTTGCAGCCTCTCCCCATAAGGTTATTCTCACTGTTTCGTCTCTGTAAGTAATACAAAAGATGATGGTTTGGTATATGTCATAAATAGGGTGGCATATACATAATATTTAGAGTTTAACATAAATAGAAATTACCTAATGTTTTGCAAGTTTAGATTTCTCTTCTTTGCAACTCTTGTGTTCTGGATAGTGATTTCTTCAGTTGGCTGCACAGCCGTTAGGCAACCAAACACATCTACATATAATATTTAATGGGAGGAATGAGTGGACACTGAAGGCAACAAAAACATATAAATGATCAACTTAGATGTTTGAGCGGCACTTGAAACTAAATTTGTTACCTGTAAGCTCAACATCGTTGTCGATTCTCTGATGAAGTTGATTAAGCTCAATTAAATTGAACCAGTGCATTGGGAGTTCTTGACTTGTTTTGTGAATAGGAACGATTGTGGTTTTCCTATTCAATTCAATGATAGCTGCATGAGGGACAACCTTGCTTGATCTCTTGTTGTGAATGACACGAAATTTGTTGATTTCATATGCATTGCCGACACTTAGACGGTCCAAAAAAAATTGGATGTCTCGACCGTTGATGGTTCCGTGAACCGCATCTCTCTTTTAGAAGGAGAATTTTAAGATTAGACATAATACTAAATGAGTGGGATAACATTTAATGCATATAGTTTAAGAATCACGTAAACATGCAATATAGTCTAGTTGTGACTACTTAGATAGCATTTAAGATCATATGCAAGATAACAGTGGAGATTATTCAAAGAATCAAATCGGTAGTAGTTGAAGCAACCTTGCAAAATGACATTTAGTTTGATTTGTATAGGTTAAAAAACAACGAAGAAAAATTAAGGAAAAGAAGACTTGATAGTTCATACTTAGTTTTGTTTCTAGAGTCATAAAAGCTTCCTCAAACAGAACAAAATATAATATTTGTAGTGAAATCCAAAGATAGGAAAAGTGTGCATGGTGCACTGTGAATTTTTTTTTGTTTTTTTTGAACAAAATTTATTGAAAGCCATGCCATCATATGGAGAAAATAGGTTTTTCATTTGTTGTTTATCTGCATGAACTTTTTAACCCAGTATAAATTTAATGTTAAGCCCAAGATCATATCTAGTGAAACAATTAATCAGACAAATGGTAATTATGTAAGCGATGCATAATTGGGTAGCAAAGTGTATAAATCAGTTTCTTCGTGGAATTTAGTCTATGTTTGATTACAAAGTTTGTTGTATTGAGAACATGGCATGCACATTTGGATACGTAAAAATGCTAGCATTCAACGATAAGTAAGAAGGTGTAAAAATCTTACATCCTTATCAACGAAGACGCAATCAAGACTTATAGGTTGAGGATTGTCTCCAATGCTTTTCGTGACCCATATTCTGCATACCCTGATGTGGAGTTTGTTTGCTGGCTGGTATGGCGTCAGAAAACGAATTGCTTGCTCCTCCATTAATCTAGATATATAAACAATTTAGGAACAAATTAAATTCAAAATTGAATAACGTGATTTAACAAATAAGTAGTGAAGTCATGTTTACAAAAATAAACAAATGGACAAAATAATAATACAAAGTTATACCTTCTTGTAAATGTTTTAAAACATCTTTATAAACTATGTTTTTTGTATAACCGTAAGGCATGTCGCTATTGTGAGCAATAACGATTTTGAGACCCTTTTTTGAGGTGACTCTGGATAGCGCAACATATAGTTGTCCATGTGAAAAAACAGTTTGCGATAGATATAGGCCAACAATTTTTAAGGATTGTCCTTGGCTTTTGTTGATTGTCATCGCATAACAAAGTTTAAGGGGGAATTGTCGCCTTTGTAGAGTAAAGGGATATTTATGCTGAGATGATTCAGTAATTATCCTGGGGATATAAACTTTTTCACCAATGTTGCTTCCCGTTATGATTGTTGCTTGTATAATTCTGTCGTTCAATTGCATCACAACCAATCGTGTTCCATTACACAATCCACTGCTTTGGTTTAAATTTCTAAGCAACATCACTGGGGTGCCAACTTTCAAATCTAACTTGTGGTGCGGTAAACCAGGTAAATCAAGTTGGTTTAGAAATTCATTTGGATAAAGCACATCTAAATTTTCTAAATTTTCTGTTGAAGAAGTGACTGAATCAAAACTGAGATAGGTACGATTTTCGCCGGGCACCATACCCAACATAAAAGCGTTTATTTCAGTTGTTGTATCATTTCGTGGTGTGACAATAGCTCTTTCTTTCAAATATGGCACATCTCGGAAATTAGTTTTGAAATTCGTATACACAGCTGAAACCATAGCTTTGATAGGATCTTCATCAAAATGGATAAGGAATTGTTCTGGAATTTGAACCCAAGAGCTTTCTTCATTAGTTGAAGGTAAAGAGTTGGTAGCAGTATCGTTGCCAATGTCTAATATCCACTTTGCAAAATGAGCGAGTTCTTGTTTTTCTCTTTCGTCCAAACTTGGTTTCGAAAGCCTCATGTTTTGCTTCAAACAAAATTTTGTTAAATATGGCCAAAGGTATGAACTCGTCAATGAAGCTTCGACAATGTCAGCAACACTTCCGTTTGGAACAACAGGAAGAATTTGTCTGAAGTCACCTCCAAAAAGAATCGGCTTACCTCCAAACGGCAAATGGTCAAAACCTGGTTTTGACCCCTTAAGAACATCACGAAAGGACCTATCTAGGGTTTCAAAACATCGTTTATGATTCATAGGGGCTTCATCCCAAATAATGAGAGCAGCTTCAGTGATTAGTTTTGCAAGATGAGTCCCTTTTTTAATTTCACAAACCGAGCAATCTGTGATGTTGATAGGAATTTTAAATCTAGAGTGAGCCGTTCTTCCACCAGGAAGTAAGAGGGAGGCAATTCCAGATGAAGCCACTGCTAAAACAATTTGATTTTGGGATCTAATTCTAGCCATGATGGTGGTCCACAAAAAAGTTTTGCCTGTTCCACCATGACCATGTACAAAAAACAGGCCAGATCTGTTGTTGTGAATTGTTTGTATGACACTGTCATAAACATATTTTTGCTCTTTATTTAACAGCCTGAATAGGTTTGAGTGCTCATGTTTTAGTGAGTCAACATTGTAATCTAACTCTTCCCTCAAACTCCTATTTGTAATTCTATCCATCATCAACTTGTTTGGTTGTGGTAGGTGATGCTTTGACAAAGAGCTATTCGAAGCAGCAAACAATTTCTCTAACTCGTACAAAAGTGAGTTTCTAAGTTGATCTTGGTACTTAGAGACATCTTGTAGGCCAAAAGCATTCATCATGTTTTTCGAAATGTCATCACACATCGTTTTCCAATGTGTTTCAAATAGAGTTGATGGATTAGCAACATTACAAAAGAGAACCAATGTGACAAACAATTGCCTTAATTGAAAGGATGACGCAGTGACAACCGCTTCTAACATAGCACTATTCCATTCCTTATCATCCCCTAATAATCCAAGCGAGGTGCATGCAGCTTGGAATGTGGGTTCAAGAATGCCTTTGACGGTCCTTAAATCATTAAAACTAAAGCTGCCTTTTTGGTAATTTAATAGCAACCTCAAATAGTATAATTCACCCGCAGCAGGGTGAATATACGCAACCCTTCCTAGAGATCTACCTCTTTTTCTACGGGTCCACTGTTTTTCATCATTTTTCCAAACATACTTGGTAGGAAACTCAACGTAAGCTAACGTACGTGCATCAGGGTCTTGGACATTGGTTTGAAACCACTGTGTTAACATAGTGCTTTCAAGATTTGGGTGGTTAACAACATGGTTTAGATCAGCAGTCTCTCTAAAAACAACATTTTGGTCAGATGGAAGGTGTACAGACAACCTCTCAACCGATGGTTCTCTAAAATGAATGTGAAATTGTAACAATCTCCACACTGCTTCGTATGGGCATAAGTATCTACAGTTTAGGTAAGCCACAACCTCATCAAACTCGTCATCCTGAAAAACAGCTCTAGTTCGATCAACACCTTTAGTTATGTACTTAAAAAGATACTTAATGAGTGTTGATTGACAACATGATTCAACGTTTATATGTGCTTGATACTTCAACAATAGCTCACGGTTGTAAGGGACAACAAATGTATTATCTAGCTTGATTCCGTTTTTTAGAACAAACAGATTTTGTATATCTCGACGCTTATATGCAACGAAACCCTCTGTGGAAAAAGTGGTTTCACTTGTGAAAGATTTAGGAAATTTTTTTGAACATTTGTTTTCTTTCATGCAAGGTGAAAATTGATTCGCAACACCACATGGGCCGTGGATCATGTACTGCGAAACTGCATCATACCCAGCTTTGTCACGTTCTTCATCAGGAAGCTCAGCCGAAATGATAGAATCAACATCGTAAGGAGAATGACATTTATAATGTTGATTGACCCATAGCAAGATATGACAATGAGGAAGACCTCTTTTTTGGAACTCAACCGTGTAAATCACTGTTTAAAAAAAAAAAAAAATATGCAGGAGTATCAAAACCATAGACTCTTAGGACTTGCAGTGATAAAATAGAAACAAATAAAAGGAAAAAATTGGTCAACAATAAAGAACTAACCAGATTCGACATCGCCAAAAGGTTTTCCTGATTTGAGGTATTTAATCAAATGGTCAAGTTTTGCTTTAAAAATTCTGGAAATTAAATCTGGCCTGTCTTCAGCTTTACAACCAGGTTTATCACGCAGATCTTCAATAATTTCAGGCCATTTAGCATTGCATGTGAAAGTGATAAATAAATCAGGATTTCCAAGGTGGCGACATATAGCCATGGCATCTTGATAATTATTTATCATATATCTAACACTGCCAGTAAATGAAGTTGGGAGAATGACCCTTTTGCCAACAGAAGAACTGGTTGCATTTCCTGCTTTGAGCGCTTCATGAATTCCTTTAAGACCTTCTGTTCTAAAAGAATCTTGATTTGCCCTAATGAAATCTAACCTATCTTCTTCAAGTGTGGCATATGCATCAACTAAGTATTGTTGAAACAATCTGCCGCCTTTCAACAGGGTGTCACTATGTCCTGGTCTATCTTGAATTTGATAACCCAAAAATGCTCTCATTGATACCCCCCCAGTCTTTGGTTTTTTGCCCCTAAAATTTGGATTCCAAGGAAGACCTTTCCGGTACCCATCTTGACCGTATGGGAAAAGAAGAGGATATTGTAGAGCCATGTATTTAGGATGTAACTTTGTGATTCTTTGGAGGCCATCTGTCCTATGCTCCACAACAATATCTCTTTCGGTGTGAAATTGGCCAATGTCCCCAACTATTAAGCCACCTATCTCGTCACATGTTGGCAAATTGTATTGTACATCATGGTTACTCTGTGCACCGTACAAACGTAGACGTAAATTACTTGTGGACCTTTCATCAATTCTATCCCTGGCTTGCCTAAAAAGTTGAACAACCTCATTACACTCGTCTAGCATTTTAATGAGGCCACTAACAACCGTTTGATCGAGTTTTTCAGATGCTTCTGATCTGTTCAAACAACCGATACGATTACTGACTTCATTTTGAGTGTCATAAATGTAGAGCTGTGCAAATTTAGGATTGTCGCCTTCTGGAGGCAACAAAGAACCCATCAAATGATGCACTTGACCATTAATTTTAAAAACATATGGACCTCGACCTTTGTTGATCGATGGATCAACTTTGGCCCCCATTGAAGTTAATGCCATCATTGAATTATACGATCTAATATTTCTTTTAAACTGTAAAAAGCTTTGAGAATTTGTGGGGTTTAACAATTCATCCAAAAAAATGGGTGTGGGTTTAGCACGTGGGAATTGAACTTTTTGACTCATGCAACACGCAGTAAACTGCGGGGTAGAAATAGAAGAAGTACGCTCAGGATGGTTCTTTGTCTGCTCTGCAGACCAAAATAGAGCACTGCAATATTGACATTGGCAATTTCTTAATCCAAAATCAACATATTCTGGATCAATCCCTATAAAAACAATGAATAATAGAAGCATACATCAAACCAATTGATAGAAGTTAATTAACGAAGATAAGCCAAATTTTGAAATCAGCAGCAAAATGTAAACAAAGTTATATTGAAAGAGTGCATACTCTTTCTTTTTTTCTGATAGGTGGCCTGCCCAGTGATGAGCGGGTTTTTAACAGAATGAATAGTTGGAGCATCTTTGGCTAACAACCGGCGCATAGTGGCATGGTCAGCAAGAAAAAGGGGTACAGAAATTTGATGAGAACTTGTTCCAGCTGCTGAATGTGAGGTAAGAAGACCTCGAACAGGAGTATGTTGTTCAAAACTTGATGTAAATGTTTGGGGAGGGTTGTTTCCTTTGTTTAAAAATAGTAAAGAGGTTGAAGTATTGTTGTATTCGTCGTCATAACTGATGGGAACATCTTGTAATACGATATCATCAAGATTAACAACCGCAATAGATGTAGGCGAATCAGCACGCTCAGTTCTAGCGGCATTCCTAGATAGCCCTATTCTTCTAGACATAAATCTACATAAACGGAAAAAACCACAAAGCAATGGTTTACTTTCTAACAGAAGGAATGTGATGATGAAACAACTATCTTAACCATATGAAATGAGCGGTGAACCAAAACCCATTCAAGCAAGAGGTTATCAGTATCGCAAACACTTTGTTAACATAATAGTAAAAACATAATCCTAATCTTTTTAGATTAGAATGAAGAATAGAGACAATTGATTTGTAATTGCTTCCTTAAATAGTGTGGTTTGTCAGTGCAGAGTGGAAAATTAATGATTAAAGTGAATGATGATTGCAAAAAAATGGTGATAAAGGAAAGCAGCATAAATATTGAATAACGACGTTACTATGATCCAAAAAAGCATGCATAGACGATTGAACATGTAAACCGAGAAAAGAGTAACAATAAAAAATAAAAAGTTAAAGGCTCTTTAAAGGGACAAAAATCTAACCGTTGTAGAGACGAAAGCGTAGCTGTGAATGAATGCCACGAAAGAACAGTGCAGGACTCCAACGATAAAAACAAAACCTAGAGAAATAGGAAGACAAAATATAAACACATATATAATCAAAGAGAAGCCAAAGACAGAACAAACATCGAACTATAAAAACTAATGCACGGCTCAACGACATTAATATAAGACATGCATTTATAAATTTGATAGAAACAAACAAATTATTTAGGTTTGACTCACTTTAGACCGATAGATAGTGCAAGATGAAAAGTGTATATTTAAGAGTGTAAGCCCTTAATTTCCAACAATAAATATATTTTAACAGTCGAAGACGGAGTTGCACCTCACGTAGTTAATCAACAACATATGTAGAAACATTTGTGATGGATGCTAAAGGATATGCATCATTTGAGAGTTCGAAGATTAAAGCTTGCATTCAGTATATGTTAGATCCTGTAAACGTTGGAAAACTTTTTCATTAAATATGTTTAGGGAAACGTAGAAATCTATGATGCGATTCCATTGTTCCGTTTCACAAAGTTTGTAGGTTGGACTCTTATTAAACGGTGAGCTTGATACAAATTATTAATGATAGATATACTCTAGGATGTTTGGAGTTTAAGCACTACCACTTAAACATGTCAACAATACTCCAGGATGTTTTGAGTTTAAGCACCACCACTTAAACATGTCAACACGTCGATAAGTTGACTGGAACAACTTTATTTATAAGAAATAAAAATTGAAAAGAATCATGAAAAATCTGTGATGGTGGAAAAAATGGATTGAAATCACTCCAAGGTAAGTAAACATAAGAAACATTTTATCACGGTCATAATTCAACTTGAAATTCCTGTCTAACGTGATGAACAACTTTGTATCCATAGCTGAAGACCCTAAAAATGTAAACCCCTAATCCATACTTTTAAATTGACACCCTCTAATAAAATCGTATCCAACTGTATGAATCACTTTGAAGTAGTTAAAAACCATTAAGTTGAGAAGTCATTAAAGATCCAAACATTAAAATCATTGTAGAGGAACAGTGAGGTGACCAATGTCGGCTGTTTTCACAGTTATCAACACAACTACGAAACCATGAGCATTAATCTTGCCACCTAGGCAAACCTCACCATCTCTAAACCCACCCTTTGCACACCGCAAGGACCTTTTCTATTTACAATTGTTGCATTGTTTGCATAATATGATGCCTTCCATATTCAAATAGTTACATACCAACCGAGAATAATAATATAAATTCGTCGCTCACCCCTTTTTCCCCATTTGAAAAACCACCCGAAAAACCACATTAATTACCATAGTTTTCAAGAATTCAGATATGGCTGCAAAGAATGAACTAACACAGCATAAAACATATGTGTTGGAGTAACCAATTAAAAATTGTTGAAGGACCAACCAAAATTTTCAAAGTTAAAAATGAGAATAGAATCTTCATAAAAACAACTAAATTTGCAATTTAAAAACAAACGAATAATATCAAAACATTAATAGAAGAACTGTTTTATTAGTGTATAACCAACAAAGAAGCATGAGTCAAATGATCGTATCAAGAAAAAGAGAAATGGAAAAAATATATAAGCAGAGAAACATATTCCTAGCACGCCAACACTTCATCCTTGAACGGTAAAAGGGTTAATTGTTTACATTATTGATGTTATGACCAAACAAAAGAGGTTTACATGGCGTTTATCTTATCTAACACCCGTTAAGTCTCTATACATTGAAAACCTAGAAGGATGTTACGGTGGAGGCAAGAAAGAGCAACAAAATTCCAATTTTGTAGCAACAACCAAACTTGTAGATCCCACCGAAAACCCGCCAAAAAATATGTTAAACTTCTTCATTCAACGGAAGTTGTTCTTTCGGCGAATTACTACGATTTTCAGGCGAATGGATAGTGTGGACGACCAATTTGTTTCGGTTTGCACCCTTACCATAAACACGCAAACCCATCCTTGTTTTTTCTATTTTGACTTCTTCCTTTGTACTGGGTCCTGGGGGAGTTTCTCTATATATCTGTATCCTTCTTCGAATCTTGTTATTGTTTCGAGCCTCAATCAGTTCCTTTAAATTTTTAACCAAAACTCCTCCTAGAATTTGTTGTTCGCTTCGATCAATCTCTTTGACCATTTTATCTATCCTGAATCACAAATTAAATATAGTGTCAATACTTATGTTTTTTAGAAAAATCTGTTTAGCTTGTAGGTCTTAGAATAACACAGTAAAAAAATTTAAAAATTTAAATATAGAAGCGGTGAGTTTTTTGGAAATAACTTAGATTTGTTCGGAGAGCGTAGTTATTAACAGCACTTATTAATGTACTTTGGCACGGATGAGAGGGTTGACTCTTAGGAAAACCTAACGAAAACACCAACCACACCAAGCACACCAACCAAGCAAAGTAACTAAGGTTTGAAGAGTGGTTTGGAAGATTCCAAACGCGACAAAGAAAGAAAGCAATTGACAAAAAAAAAACATATAAAATGGCTAACAACATTCGATTAAGAATTAGGAACACTCGGTTAAAGCAAAATCATAGATGACACCAATGTACCTTTGAACAATAATAGAATGGTTGAGACTAAGTTAAAACCAACAAAAACAAAGAAACCAATGAACTTGTGAAGTATCAAAAGATCACAGAGATAACGAAGAATGAAAACAAAGCAGGTAGCAAACGAATGACATAAGCTGATAAAACCAAACAATCGACTGAAACATGATAAATCTGCATTAACACAACCAGAAAGCACGGGGAAACAATGTATCTTAGTTTAGGTGACATACCAAAGCCTTGATTCAGATGCAATAGGTGCGGATCCCTAGATGAAAGGCAGCAAGAAGAGCAGATCACAACGTTGCAATAACACCTTGATCTAAACTACAACAAATCAATGAGATTGAGAGTTAGAATTTGAAGCGCAAACAAATGGATACAGGAAAAGTAACTCAATTTGTGACAGTGCAACGGACTCTAACTGGGACAGTTCAATGGACTTAATGTACGACAAATTCACATTTAACGAAAGAAAAGTTGATTATAATGGGAATGCATCTTCTGTCACCATATTAATTTAAAGGCCTAAAGTAAGGATGAGGTATCGTAATCGGTTTTGAATTAGTACAGGGGTTAGAGCTTGAGAACTTTGGTTTTAGAAGGAATAGGCTAAATTGAGCCAATAATGGTTCACGACCTAGCATCCATAGCACATTACACTTCATGTACAGCCTAAACTAATAGAAAATATCAAAAATTGTCGAAAACAAACACTAATTTTTTAGAGCCTGAACTGATACAAATTAGAAACACCTCAATTCGCTTGCCTTCATTATTCACTTTATATCTTAAGAATAATGACTAAATAGTTTTAAATATTAAACATTCCACAATCAAAAAGATTAAACACTTGAATCAGTACTAATAGTCATTTCACCCAAATTCATGATTGCAAGATCCTTAATATAGTATGTCTTGACAACAGATTCAATGATCATATTATATGCATGGATGTAAAAAAACAGATGCATATATAGTTATATACACATCTATGCATGCATACCTATAGAGGTATGTACATACACACACAGATGCATACATACACATGTATATACACATGTATATATGCATACATATACATATAGCTATGCAGATGCTTATACATATATTTAGAGATATTCTTAGGTATATATTGATAAATATACTATTTTGGCTAAACCGAAGTTGAGCAGACATAATACAAATAAGGAAATTATGGATTTTAGAACAACAAATAAATTTTGGCCAGCATCTGTCCAGAATATATTAAAATACAGAACATGCATGAGGAATTATGTTTTACATTATCTCACTTGATATGATATTCAAAGGAAAAATAATTTTGACAGGAGTGCGAAATATTTGAGAAAAGATAAAAAAAGATTGGATCTTAAATAACATTGATTAGTCTAAATTAATACCTTCCACTATATGAGAAAAATTAGATTGTTTCTCCATTTCTTAAAGACAGAAACCTCACTCTAACATTGTACGAAACAGTGCACTCAACAGCCTAATCTCCCCAACACCCAACTAAACAGCCTATAAACATCCATTAGAATTTTAAAGAAAACAAAGGGTAAATCTCAGAAGGGTTTAACTGACGACCAGTCATTTATGCTTGATAATGTTCTGAATTTTTAAAAACTGTTAACTGATTGAAAAACCACACCATTTAAAGAACCGGTGGAAATCAGAATAAGTATGAAATACTACATAGATAAATGAACAGCCATTAATAAATTTTTTTTTCTCAGCATGGCAGCAACAATCAGAAAAAGAAAAGGAGAAAATCTATGGGATAAATTTAAAGTCTATTTGAAAGGTTCAATATATTTGTTTGTCAAACTCAGTGATCAAACTTCATACTCATGCTTTCCAAAAAGAAAAGAAAACGAAAAACTGAAATCATTGACAAATCCAAGCAATATAGTAGCTACTATTAAGATCCAAAACGAATTGTGGAAAGTATGGGGACCAAACACTATTAGAAGTTGGAAAGATATGATGATGCAGCAGTTTGACAACACAGTTTGGGAAACTTTGGGTAGGAAATATGCTCGCAAGGAAAACCGACAATGAGTGAGTATGACTCTCAAAGCTGGTTATGTCTAAATTACTAAATTACCATGATCGTTGTTGGTTCGTTTTCACCGATGGTCTACTTTGTATTCAAGTTCTTGTAAAGAAAATTGGTCTTTTAACATGCTCTTTTCTAAATTTAAAAAAGATCGTAATTTATTAATAAATTCAATTCCCAAATTGAAATTGCAAAGAAAATAGATCTGTTAGATGCTCATGTCTTTCTTGGTACAGATACTCATATTGTTTTTAATTAGCATCACACATCATGATATTAAAGTTCTAATCATGTTAAACCTATGCCATGTAGCATATGCATTCAACTCAATACCCTAAAATTACAGCCAAAATT